CATTGTGATAAGGAAAGACATTCTTCACATGTTCCACTAATTTATGAAAACCCAGCATGCAACCACAAGGCACCGCGCTATAAAAGTACGATAGACCCCAAATAATTGAAACTCTCTTAGATGAAATTGCTGCTTAAATGGAACAACTTCCCCTAATATGTTTGGTTTCCTACTTGAATATTATACCCCTGTTTATCTCTCAGTAAACGAAACTCTTCTTAAAAGAAACAGATTTCTTGGTCCCTTCAGGTTTTTTTAAAAAAAATTGCCCGCAGCTTCCCTCGGGGGAACACTGAGGAGGATGCGGAGCGTAACTCACGCTAGCCGAGGGAACTCGACCGGCAATCAACGACTGCTTGCACGTAGCACACACGACGTAGTCGGCATAGTCGGTGCCCTTTCCAAACGTATCGCAAAGAACCGACAACGCTTTGGAGTTGTTCTGAATGTTGCCGATCCGAGTTAAGTTGTTATCGAACCAAAGACGATCACACACCTTGCAGGTGTGGCCGAAGCTTCGGTCGAGGAAGTCGCGCTTGAAGCGAGCGTTGGGCGTGGCATACTGCTTGGCGCGCCACGCCGCTACCTCGGCGCGCTTGCGCTCGCGGGCAGCGTCGGGATCGGCCTCTCGTCGCCGACGCTTGCACTCAGCTTCCCGTTTTCGAAAGTCCGGGTCCTCTTGTCGACGCTTACGTTTCAAAGCGGCCGAATCCAGTGCTGCTGCTCGACGCTGACGTCTCTCAACGGCTTCACGTTCTCTAAGTTGAGCATCTTCCGCTCGACGCCGACGTTTACGTTCGGCGTCGCGAGCTCTTCTCCGCGCTGCCTTGTCTTCGGACGACGACTTGGTTGCGGTTCCGCCAACACTTTGGCCGGCGCTGGTCGAAGCGACGTCGATCATTGCGACCTCGGACGTCGACGCGCCGTACAAACCAACCGACGAGCGGCAACTGAGCGAGCGAGCACCGACCTTGAGTATATATACAGCGCGACGGCGCATGCACTGTCAGCTGTCGAATGTTCGAGAATGGGGAGAAGCGCAACGGCGCATGCGCGCGCGTCAGCTGCCGGCACGCGGTGTGTAGAGGAGGAAGGGTGCACAGATGGTGGAGGAGTGAAGCGCGCGCGGTGTGTAGAGGAGGAAGGGATGCACAGATGGTGGAAGAAGGAGGAGGAAGCTTGCGGACGGCGCCGCACTACAAGCCTCGAGTATTAGATGCTCCGCATCTAAAAAGAAGTCTACAACTAGGAAATTGGGCTTGTATTTGAAGACTAAGAACATGGGTTCCTAGGCATCACTGCTGCAGGATTCTGTTGCGTAGGACATGTTTAAGAAAAAAAAATGGCTTGAGGGGAAGGGGGCGTTAGCTCAATCATTGGCACATGTTAAACCTCCTGAAAATGGGGTAGGCGGTATTCGATTGAAATCTTATGGTAAGTTTGTTTGCTCTTTTTTTTTTTCAAGAAAGGAGGGGTAGCTGTGCTTTACGGAATGTTAATGCTGCCCCCATCAGCTTCACAAAGTCTGCCGACTATTTTTCTCTCTCTTTTCTTCGTGTGTGTGTGTGTGTGTGTGTGCGCGCGCGTGCGTGTGTGTGTGTGTGTGTGTGTGTGTGTGTGTGTGTGTGTGTGTGTGTGTGTGTGTGTGCATGAGATTCGAGGCATGGTTGTGGTTGCAAATGTCAGCATATATGTACATAATGGTGTCCCTGAATGTGGAGGGTATTTGTGTCTGTATTGCTCATGCTGTGGTGTTTGGTGTCAACATTCCTGTCTACATGACTTTTCAGTATTTCCATTTTTCTTACAATATACTTATTTTTTGTGTGGGGTTTGTGTTCCCCCACTGTCTTGTAGAAGCTGCTTTACTCAAAGCTGGCTTTATGAACACATCCTCCGAGCCACTCTGCTACATCAACAGCAACTTGTTCGAATACACCATGCAAGAATAGCATTGGCTACTGGCTAGTTTATTTTGTCTCTTATTGATGACTTAACACAAGTCAATAGGCGCCACCGCATTGTTGAACAAATGTTTCTTCACGTTTGTATATCGCAATGTGAATTAGGTCATGAAACGTTGAATGCGCCAACCCAACAATTTTTATGCTTGTGCATATGTCGTAGTGCAGTTCGTTAAGCTATTAAGCCTGAATATGGCATGGCTACAGCCCAGTGTGGTAGCAGCGAAGCCAAAAAAGTAATCTATAAGCTAGTGGCGACCAAAAGCTGATATCACCTGGCCGCATAGGGTTATGATATTTATGCGAGTCCTTTCTATTCAATTCTTTGCGTTGAAACCATTATAATCTTACAGGCATTAATTCAGTCAACTTCACCCGCAGTGCAAGCATTTCTCCTTGGTGCACTCCTTCAGAAGAAAGCTATTGTAGATGTGTGGATTCGCCAAAGCATCGCTTTTAGTGCATTGTTCATGGTGGCCACTATTCTGCATCTTGTAGTCCCATCAGCAGGCAGTTTTGTTTTTAAGCAATCAAATACTCTACGAAGTACCATACAAATGGGTGGCTTCTCAGCAAACACTCCCATTATTCATTCAACTCCTGTGTGGGAGTACTTTGATCTACCAGAAGAAGTTTACAAGGCTCGGTCTATCCTCTTCTCACTGTGGCTTTCTCTCTCTTTCCTTTCCTCTCTCTTCTCTCTCTCTCTCTCTCTCTTTACTCTGTCTTGGTGCTTGGTGTTGGTGGTGGCAGCAGTGGGCGCTGAGTCGGACTCCGACAGTGAGTGGAGCTCCCTCGAACGACACCCCGGCCGCCCTCCAGGGTGTGCTCCCCGTCGGCCACCTGCGCCCCACCGCAGGGGGCGCCACCGCCGCCATCGAGGCGGCAGCATCCCTGTGGCACCCCCGCGCATCCCAGCGCTGCCTCCATACCCGGATGCACCTCTGGTGCCATCATCCGCAGGTGCCAACAGTTGATGCCTCGCGTAATGTCTTTTTTTTTTTTTTTTGCTTCACGGCAGAGGTTGCATCTTATGTAGCTGACTCCCAGGTTTGGTCCTTGTCATAGGCTGAGAAACAAACAAACCAAAGTCATTTGAGGGTTGCTCTTTAAATATTAAATAAGGAAAATTCTGAGAATGCTACTGTGGACGTTGTTCGAGTCCTGCCATGTTGTTCGTGCTGATTGGCGTTGAGGGCTGCTACGACCTCTCATATTGTCATCTGGTCATGACGTTGACGAAGGCAGCAGTCTGTGCGTCCGTGATGAAACTACTTATTTGGGCGAACGTGTTCTCAGAAACGAAGAGTGAAACTACAGGCAAACCTCATTACAGCAAAGCGGCACCTTACATGAAAGTAAGTTTGTTATTCCCAAAAAGTAGTTATAAAGGTATAGTTTCAACACTGTACTTATTACAAGACTATTTTTTATTTACTTTGTTATTACCGATAGTTTGTTGTATCCATGTTTGTTATATTGAGGTTTGAGGGTACAAGCAATATGCACTGTACACTGTCGTCTTTTATGAAAGAAAACACGTGGGTTAGTGGTCTACTCTCTGCGGTAACTGCCTACAGTGCCATAAAGTGACAGCTGAAGAAAGCAACCTCGTTACTGCCGGCATCGTTCGTTATCAGACTGGTGCGGGAGTGTTATCGAGCCGTGCTTGTCCAATGGTCATGACTCAATATTTCGTTTGCCAATAGATGGAGCCAAAAGTCTACGTGCTTTCTTTAGCTGTCAGTGGGTGGTGCTGTAGGCAGCCGCCGCAGAGCACAGGCCACGCGCTTGCGTGTTTTCTTTCATAAAAGACAGTGTACACTGATAGCAGCGAATAGAGCATTAGCCATCGATAATATGATCTGCAGTGAGGGGGTGTCATCATTTATAGTTGTGGTATCAAACATTCGAGCCTTATCGCTAATGGCTGCGTTCTTTCCAGCATGAACTCATCTGGTCATGTTAGCTTGCTCAAGCTTATCTGAAGATTCTGGAACAATCAGGGAGGTTGCCAGGCATTCGGTTGCAGTTTACGCAAGGCAGTGTTTCTGTGCATGTGACAGCGTTAGCTGTAGGTGCGCCATTACGGAATAGGTAAGTATGGCAAAATTGACAGGGTTCAGAATAACACCCCTAGTCTGCAAGAGCACTCACTGCCAACCTGTGTGTGCATTAGTGGAAAGAAAATGAGACAGCAAATGATTTTGTAAATTATGTCACATTCTGAGCGCACGAGTAAAATTTTCTTTAAAAAATCTAATCAAATTGTTTGGAAGGGTGTGATGTTTTGTTTATAGTTATCTAGGGTGCATGATAACAACCCACACGTTGAGACACTGTGAATGTGTGGTCCTCCTGTTGCAATTTCGCTGCAGCAAAATTGTGGGACAATGAATTCATTTGCACATCCTGTCGTTTTCATTGCGGAAAGTTTTGACTGTGCCAGAACGGCAGGAATTGCTGTTTGAACGTAAATCATTGCGCTAGCTGAGAGGGAGGTTGTGTGTGGCTCAGTGCACTCAGCACAAAACAACAAAACAAGAGGAACAAAGCAAATGAGGGTTGTTTGTTTGTCCACTTCCTTTTGTCTTTGCTGGTTCTGTGCATGCTGAAACTACCCCATTATGAACTTCTACCAGATTACCCAGTTTTAATGCGACAGTGTTTAAAGTGGGCAAGTTGCTCTTTGATGGGAACGCATTAAAGAGCTCGTTTCGCTGAAATTGCGTTGTCGGTGTCAGTGGCGTCGTCGTCTTTGGTTGTGAGTGAAAAGTCAGCATTGGCCGTGAGGGGAAATCTGAGATAGATTTAAATAAAGATAGGAGCTGGATGGTGTTCGTGCTTCGGCTTTCCTTGTGACACCGTTTAGGTCTCCAAGAATAGGCAAGGGTAGGCTAGCGATTGTAAAGGCAATAGTGTGCATGCATGCATGTTTGCGTGCATGCAGATTGCGCTATTGCGTTCAACTCCTAAAGGAGAAGTTTCATTGCTTCTACAGCATCTGCCAAGCACTTACGCGTGCCCACATTTCAGCAGCCAAGGCCAAGCTGCCCGGCATGCTGCCTACCGACGACAGTGTTGCCTATGACAGCGCCACCATGGGGGAGCTGGCGGCAGGTGCCAGGGTGAGTGCCCCGCTGTTGGAAGCTGCTTTATTAATTACCGTAGAATTTTAAGCAGTGTGAGTTTAAGAAAATCACTACAGAACTTGATGTGCACTTCTACGTGAGCTGAAAGGGATTTCGCTCATCCAGCAAGAGCAGAATTTAGAGCATCTGAATTTGCCCATGCTTTGTCCTACAACTTCAAAAAGCTTGGTGACATTTCAAAGTCTATAATTTTCGACTGAATCGTGAGTTATGTATGCAACAATTTGCGATGAATATGCTTGTGCAGACATCGCTTTATGCTGAATTCGTAAAAGAACTAAACGCTTTGTAAGATGCAGAAGAAGCTAAACTGGCATCACTTCTTGATAAGAGTATTTAAAGTGAACCTGGAATAGCTGCTTGAGCTTCAACGAATATTGATTTCATTCGGTAATAGCTAGATCTGCTCTTTAACTGCTAATGGTCTTGCTGTCTGGTGTAACCTTTTAAATGCTCTTGACTGGAGGGTTCAGAAAAGCTGCTGTCACTCATGTTCCAGTGTTACTAGACGGGCAGCGACTCTTTAAATGCAGCCGTGGTGAGTAGTGCTGAGAACCTAAAGCGTTGCGCACTGTGGCGTGTTCACGTTACAGCAGTTGCTAAAGGACAAGAGTACGACGCGGAAGAAAGACGAGCGAAAGAAGGCCCGCGAGGATGAGAAGACGGAGAAGCGCCGCCTCAAGGAAGAGGCAAGTGACTGAGAAGCAATGACAACACTCGTTGTGGTGTCTACAGCATGATGTAGTGACCAACTCTGATTGCAGTTCCCAACTTAATATCTGGGCAGAGCAAGTGAATATAAAATGTACAAGTAACTGTGGTCTTGAAGTAATGGGTTGCACTGTAAATCATTGCCTTTATTCCACGAGTTTTAAGAATAAAGCCTTGTGAGTACATTACATTACATGCATATCTAACGTTCACTGGGGGTGTGTACAACTGTACACATTGAATATGGAGGCTTGTCATGCATTACATATTTCTTCGAATAGCTTGAAACACGGTGTGCACCTGTGTACGGGCTTGCTCAATAGACAAATAGTGGTCGTTTAACTTCATTGCACTACATATTGCTACAGAGGATCACTTTGCTGGAGACATTACTATGTTGGACAATCGTTTTACACACCACGTTCCTGGACAAACATCAAGAGTGTATTATTTTTCTTTGCTTGAAACAAATATGGGGGAAAAAACATGGCATGCATTTTCGGCCTAAAGTAAAATTTTTTTGATGCAAGAATTGAGGCTGTCTGATTGCAGAATAATTAGATGCTTAAATACAGAAATTCACACAAAACAATATAGTTGTTCATTTTCTTTCTTGGAATCTAATAATGAATACCTTGGAATTATGGTATGCATATTCGATGCATTTACAGACAGTGCATCATAATTTGCACCTCAAGGGAATGGCCCCGCTGCGGTGGTTTAGTGGCTAAGGTACTCGGCTGCTGACCCGCAGGTCAGGAGATCGAATCCCGGCTGTGGCGACTGCATTTTCGATGGAGGCAAAAATTTTGTAGGCTCGTGTGCTGAGATTTGTTTGCACATTAAAAGAAACCCAGGAGGTCAAAATTTTCGGAGTCCTCCACTACAGTGTCTCTCATAATCATATCGTGGTTTTGGGACGTTAAACCCCACGTATCAATATACCTGAAGGGAATATTTGCATGCAGCGTGTTCAGTTAACAATATTTCAAACATTGTACCACTGTAGCTAGAGAGACAAGGGTATTGGCAATGAGTGCACCAAAATTCCATACCTTATTAACATAGAGAGGGGTCAAGCGCACTACAATGACCGAACAATGTAGAACCAATTTACAAATGAAACTTCACATCTTAGTGGCTTATTTTGGGTGTGCTAGCCTTTTCTGTGCCTTGAATTATCAAATATTGAGATGGTACCATCTCGCATTGATTCTGTCTCGGTGATGGCAATAGTTCTTGTGAAAAAGATTCAGATTTCGGGGTCTAATGATATCAGAATATTTACCATCATTTGTAGATGTGCTTGTTGATGAGCACTTCTAGAATTTCTTGGCTACTTCTTTGTAGAAGACACGACAGCATTAATGGTAGGAAGTTGGCCATCTTGGTTGGGGCAAGTTGAGATTGAAGACAGGCCTACTTATAGAATTTCACATTATGTCCATGTAGAGAAGGGAACCCACGAAATAGAGATGCAAGCTTACAAGCTACGCAAGGTGCCAGTTCTACAGGAGTTTATCTTTTACTCGTTCATATAGGGGCCGCATAGACCGGCCACCTCGGACAATTGCTCGTCCAAGACAGCCGCCGGATTTCGGGGTGCTGTCTCGCGGCTCAAATGCTCGACCAGCGTTGAAGGCTCTCACACGATGCAGGAGCGGCAGAAGCGGCTGACGGAGAAAAAGAAGAAAAAGCAGGGTAACAGTCCGGCTGGAGCGGCCCCCGCCCTCGAGGAGTTTGCCCAGTCGGAGGCCGTGCGCACGCCGCTCTTTGTGGAGCAGTGCGTGCGCTTCATCGAGCAGGAGGGCCTTGACTCGGAAGGGCTGTACCGGGTGCCAGGCAACCGAGCGCACGTGGAGCTGCTGCTGCAGCGGCTAGACGAGGGCGCCGACCTGGTGGCCGAGCTGAGCTCCTCCGAACTGCCCGTCAACGCGGTGGCCACCGCCCTCAAGGACTTCTTCTCCAAGCGGCTGCCCCCGCTGCTGTCGCATGCCCACATGGCACGCCTCACTGAAATTGCAGGTCAGTGGACGGCTTATTCCCTGCAGTAACATTGAGTGTTACCTGCCAGTAGATGTAACTGTTAGAGTACAGAACCAGTAGTGAAAAGATAAGACCTTGTGCTTCGAAGGCCAGACAAATACTTCTTTGAGTAGGATTGAAAACTGGGCAAGTTGGTAACGATTCATAGCTGGTATAGGGACAAAACAGTGCAAAAGAACAGAGACTAAGACTAAATGCGTCAACTAGGTACAGTAAAACCTTGTTAATTCGAACTCTGTTATTTTGAAATCCCGCTTAATTTGAAGGATTTCTGCGGTCCTGTATTTTTTCAATGTAAATTAGAGCAGATAATATAAAGCGGCGGCCGGCACCAGTCTGGTCAATTCGAAAACTTTGGGTGCCATGTGCCAGTTCCAGATCACTATTTCGCCACGATTTTGCGGAAACGACGGCCATTAATTGCCAAAAGGCTATGCAACGTATCGATACTAATGAGTGGTAGCTGAAGCACCCCAGTCTCGCTACTTCTAGCGTCAAAAAAAAAAAAAAAACAGAAGAAAAAAACGACCTTGTGTTCAACCAAAACGTGTGCCTGCAGAAAACAAGACAAGTTCGCTGCAACACAGTGGTGACACGCGGGCAGCTTATTGCATGTTTCTCGTAACGTCAGCGGGTCGTGGTGTACCTATGATTTCTGGGATTGTAAAGCAATTAATAAAGAACAGTTTAGCGGAAATCGCGATGTCTGCGAACCTCCGATTGCCAGTTGCTCCAGCAATTCGCATCTTTGCACTGCTGGCGAAGTTCTTGCCAGCAACACCTACTTTGAAAACTAAGTTCGAAAGTTTCAAAGATAATTTTTTTTCCAGCCAAAACACATCGTGATCTTCGTCCTAATTGTCATTATTAAATTTATAATTATAATAGAAAGAATGTGCGAATGGTCGCATCATGACGTGCTGACTCAGCAAGGAGCAGGCGACATGCTGCCCGCGTGTCACTACTGTGTTGCCATGAAGATGTCTTGTTTTCTGCAGGCGCACATTTTAGTCGATCACCGCTTTTTCTTTCTTTCTCTCTTTTTTTTTTTTTTTTGTGGCAGCAGCGAGGCCCATCGTTCCTCCATGTTCGTGGCAAAATAAAGACCAGGTATTGCTGGAAAACATAACCTTTGGAGCCGCAAGCTAGCCGGCACTGCAAACAACGAGCACCGATTAGTTTGAATAGTTCGAAGTTTCTTGCATCCCACTTTTTGTATGTTCTGTTAATTTGAAAACCCACTTAATTCGAAGCTTTCTCGTGGCCCCAGTGACTTTGAATTAACAGAGCTTTACTGTATGTTGACAACTTCATCATTTTTGTAAATAGGAGCATCTCCACGAACAATGTGATTGCTATTCTAAAAAGAAAGGTGCTAGCTTGAAATTCACTCGCGAAATGTCGTCCCAAGGGATTTTGCAATTATTAGACTTAAGCTTGACGTTTTGTGATAAGCTGGTATGTTGAAAACACCATGCTCGTAGTTTAAACCCCTGCTTTCCTTTGCTTCTACCCATTTTAAAATAGCAAACAACGGTAACGATTTTGCCACTCTGAGGTCTGCAATAATCAAGTCTTGTGGCCATAAGGTGGTAGTGCGTTTTCAGTCACAAATATTGAGGAGGCTAGAAGAAGCCAGTTATCCGGATGGTGTGGTTTTATAGACTTGTGACAAGCTTATGTGAGAGTTGAACTGTACCTTGAGAGGTAAGGATGCAGCACTAGCGAAGGAAAAAGGAAAAGAAAAAAATTACGCCATCTCCCGCTAAAGGGACCCATGTGTAGATGCGAAGCAGCGGGCGCTAACGCTTACACTGACGGCGACGTTGACGCTGGTGCTTGTGCTGTTGCGCAGGAGAGAAACCTGGGGAGGTGCAAAGCATGCAGTGATGGACTGGTGTTTCCTACTGGAACATGCCAATCGCTGCTAATGGGCAATAAGAGATAGAAGACTCCCGATTCGACACATAGACCTGCAGCCCGCTTTTAGTTAACCCGCACGCTGCGAATTTTTATTGTTCAACAACGCACAGGAGAAATCTCCCACCAGCACTACCTTGGAGGTCAAAATCCAGTGCCTATATATACAAGGTGGCCAGTGAATGGTTGAGCAGTGCAAGCAGTCAGTCTTTTTCAATCAAGAAACTCACTAGCAGACGCTGCCTTCATCAGCGTTGTGAGGCGAGAGAGGAGACGCACATGTGCAACATCGGCATGAACGCCACGGGGAGGAATGCCTAGAGGAGAGGGTAGCGAGCGTAGGGTAACTGACACTCCCTGCGTTGGCATTGCAAAGCGAGAGGGGGGAGCGTAGGAGAGGAAAAAGTTGTGCATGCGTAGTGTGAGTGCAGACACCGACGCTGCAGGACGTACACCCGAGTTAGAGATGCTTCGCATCTAAAAATTTGCCGTCCGACCATACGTTCACCAACACTCGCACTGGCTAAACAATGTTCGACTGCATGGCATTGAAGTTGAGCAATGTGAAGTATTGAGCTAGTTGGGTTTTCATGGCGAAAAACTGTGCTACATTTACTGCAATATATGAAGTTATGGAGGAGACCCAAAAAGAAACGGTACAAGCACAAACTATCAACTGAATTTATTGTACAGAAAAAAAAGTGTGGGCGCAGGCTAATATTAGAAAAAAGCATCAGTTACGGACAAATAGAAAAATAGGAGACTACACGCGAAATGTGGGAAGTCTTTCACATATCAGACAAGGGAAATGCATGCATCAGTTCAAGCTCCATTCTATTAAACCGAACGAAAATTGAATTCTTCAGAGGTCACATACACTCAAACCTCCTTATAAAAAAGTTGCATCTTGCATGAAAATAAATTCGTTTATATGAAAATTTGTTATGAAGGTTTATTCCTGGCACTATATCTATTGCAAGACTGCTTTTCATTTACAGTGGACTCCCATTAAACGAAACTCGGTTAAACAGAAAAGCCACATAAAACTATCGTATTTACTCGCATAATCCTAGCACTTTTTTTGACGGAAAACCGATGCAAAATTGGGGGGCGCGAGAATTACGCGGGGAAAACTTTCGGCGATAACGTACAGAACGAAAAAGAAAATGAAGTGGCCGCAAATCAGGATTCTCACACCAGCAACTAACAGCAAGCTTTGGGAAGTACTAATTAAAACTAACCTCAACAATAAAAGCACAGGTTCAACACAAGGCAAGATTTATTTGAAACACAGAAAGTGCTAGCAAAAAGTAGAGAATTACAATGCCATACGCAAAGTTTGTGGGCGTTGCGGGCATGGCAGTAGCGTTCATTGCTCAACAGGAGCCCTCAAAAGGTAAGCGTTAGGACGTCAGTATTGGGCTCATAATTATTTAACAGAATCATCCGCAGTTTCCTTCTGAAGAAATAAAGTTTACCATCAAACCCAGTTTTAGGCACACGGCAGGCCCAACGCGTCTTGGTGGCTTTCAGCTGCCGTCACCAGTAGCGAACACAAAACTCGTAGACTTCGAAGGGCCTACCGGCGACCCTGTTGCCATAGTTTAGTGCATGATCTATCATTTTCAACTTGAAAGCAGCCGTGTAGCTTCAGTATCACCCCATAACGTGACAAGATTACCAACACAACAAACAAAACAGGCCAAAATGCGCACTTGCCACTTTGGGTTGGCTTGGCTTGGATTAGATTGAATCATCATGCAGTAATAGTACGCTTTATGCTTACGAGATGGCACCAGATGACGCACGCTATTATCATCAGTGGCTGAAACGAGCAGACGACATTTTTGCGGCAGTTTTCGGGGGCGCGATAATTACTCGAGGAAAAAAAGAAATCGCATTTTTGTTGGGCGATATTGGGGGGTGCGAGAATTATGCGAGTGCAAGGATTACGCGAGTAAATACGGTACTTCAATATGTTTATGTTCGTTCAGCCACAGTTGGTGCTTTTCAAATAAAGTCATATTTTATTCATTTTGTGGGCTTTCTTTACATGAAACTTCTCATAAATGGAGCAAATTTTCTTGCCCCTTCGAGGTCCGTTAATAGGAGTCAACTGTTCTTCATTATGAGCAATATTTTGTTATACCCGGGTTGGTTATATCGAGGTTTTAGTGTATAGCAATAGAATCAGCATACCCAGAAAAGAACATTGAGTCATCGCCACATGCTGCAATCGTAGTCACCCACGTGTAGCACCTGAAGACTGTTCAGCATGATTGCCGCCCACCCCTGACCCTCATCGTAAACTGATCTTTCCTTTTCCTGGAAGTCTTCTTACCTTCAAGTTTTTTGTCAAATAAATTCAGTTGATAGTTTGCGCTTGTAGTGTTTCGTGGCTTCTCTCTAACTTTGTATTTCGCAGTAATTGTAGCGCAGTTTTTTAGTGATTGAAGTTGGCTTTCCAACCAAAGATAATATTGGCAATGTCTGCACAGCAGTGCGAAAAAAGGCCCATTGATGAAGGGTCAGTATTCTGTCAAGCTACGAATGTATTTGTGTCAGTTGTCATTGGTGTTGTCTACAGCATACCCTTCACGTGGGGATGTGTTTGCATTTGTCAATCGGGGCAATGCTCAAACTTGTGACTTAGGGAGCACCAAAATACCCTGAAAGGCAATGTTTGCTCGATGCAATTGGCAATGCATTGCTGAGACATACCCTTCACGTGGGGAAGTGTTTGCATTTGTCAATCGGGGCAATGCTCAAACTTGTGACTTAGGGAGCACCAAAATACCCTGAAAGGCAATGTTTGCTCGATGCAATTGGCAATGCATTGCTGAGATCATGGGTGCACCGCAGAATACGTTGAATTCCACTGTAACGAAGTCCGCTACAACGAAATTTCTGCCATAACGAATCATTTTTCATTCCCCGACAGCCACCCACAGAAAACAATGTGAAAAACTTCTAGTCATAACAAACACTTTTCCTGGATACTTCCGTTACAATGAAGTTTTTGCAAGTACCACCACATAAGAAAAAGAAGCTTGCCTAGG